GGATGGCACTCTGGAGCACCAACAGTAGCTAGGAGGTCTGTGGTTGGCACAACTAATGCTACCATTTGTTGACTGTATGGACTAAATGGGCTATTATGAGTTAGCCCAATACCCACTCCACCATTTATAAAACTTTCTGTGTAAAAGTGCAGAGTAAGTTCAAACCACTTACAGAAGTATTTGGAGCCACAAACTGTACGTTGGAACTTGGGTGTACTTCCTTTTACTTATCCTAAATATATCATTTTTTTAAAGATTTTAGGGCGCCTGTGTGGCTCAGTTGGTTGGGCGACTGCCTTCGGCTCAGGTCATGATCCTGGAGTCCCGGGATCGAGTCCCACATCAGGCTCCCTGCTCGGCAGGGAGCCTGCTTCTCCCTCTGACCCTCTTCCCTCTCGTGCTCTCTATCTCTCATTCTCTCTCTCTCAAATAAATAAATAAATAAAATCTTTAAAAAAAAAAAAAGATTTTATTTATTTGTCAGAGAGCACAAGTATGGAGAGTGGCAGGCAGAGGGAGAGGGAGAAGAAGCAGGCTCCCTCCCGAGCAAGGAGCCCAATGCTGGACTCAATCCCAGGCCCCTGGGATCATGACCTGAGCCGAAGGCAGACGTTTAACTGACTGAGCCACCCAGGTGTCCCCTAAATATATCATTTTAGCCTATGGCTCCAGTGTACTGGAGTATTTCCAGTGTACTTGGAAACTGATTACAAGGGTAACATGCCCACACACTGTGTTTTTATTACATTGGGAATATATCTTAAGCCATACTTCATATTTCAGGTCTACGTGATTCATTTGTAACTAAAGGATGATGACACCCCCCCCCCTTTGCCATTAAAACAGATCAACTCGAGGGACTGTCATGTGCCTGACATGATGCTAATTGTTCTTTCTTCCCCTCTGCCACTATGATTGGCACCAGATAAGAATTGTGGGTGTGGTGAGTTTTTAACTCAACTAGGACCTTTTCAGGAAATACCATTGGCGTTAGGGGAGAAATTGCTCACAGTGCCGGGACTGTCGAGGTAGTGAGGCTCTCAAACTCTTCTTTCTGAGGCCTCCGTGTGATGTTATTATTCTGTAATTCTTTGTCTTGTGAATGCTGGTGAGGTGATTTACTATTTTTCTTCTGTTTCAAGTCCGTTTGAAAGACTTAAACTCTCTGCTCTTCGGTATGTTTAATACGTGTGACTATTATTAGAGACAGAAATATAATTACTCTTTGGCCCATCCTGACTGTACACAGTGTCCTCAGTTTTATTCAGAACGCACAAAGGAAGGAACTGGCTCATTCTGTAAGAGCAGCTCTGTGTCTTCTCAAATCTTCTTCATAATAGCAAATGATAATGTTACAGAACAAAGTCTCTGAGGAAGGAACTTCTTTTTAAACCTTAGTCTTGATGTAGGGTGGGTGGGGGGATGTTCTTCTCTCAGCACTGGGCTGTTGCTATAGTTGAGGGTAAACTGGAGCCAGGAGAGCTGGGCGCTGGGAACTCGGGAGGCTGAGCTGAAAGCCGAATGCCTGGGGAAGAGGAAGAAGAAGTGATTCTAGACTTTGTGCCTAACCTTGGATATTGTGAGTACCCTCCACCCCTTCAGACTACATCAGTCCAACTTCCAACCAGCACCAATACTTACTTGCCTACCTGACAGCTGGAAGTGCAAGAGAATTCTCACACCCCAGGGAGCAGCCTTCAACCAGTGACTGACAGGAGTTAGTGGGTAGATATCCAGCCCCTGTCCACTGGTTTGGATAGCCGACATGTCGGCTTTACAACGGCTTTCCCAACAGGATGAAGATGCAGTCACTCACAGCGGTAGCTGGCCTGACAATAGACCATTGGCCAGCTTCCCTTCCTTGTCTCGCTTTTCCACTTCCTCACTGGTTTTTGCCTTCACTTCCCAAATAAACCCTTGCTCTAGAATCTTTTGTCTCAGGATTTGCTCCTGTGGAAAGCTAAGAGCTAAAATATGTCACCTTGTCTTTCGGGGAGAAGGTTTCAGGCACCTCGCATAAATGCCATCACCTCTACAAGGTGGGCATGGGGAACAAGGAATCAAAGTGAAGGCGTTAGTTAGTTCTCCAGATTGGTGCACCTGTCACAGAGCACCAAGCAGGATACTTGGAAGACATGCCTGGAAGGCCACTGCCTACCTTTGATTCCTTTCTCTGTGCTCATTGCTGACTAGCCTTAGTCTGCCCGTTCATTCTTTCTCAACAGTGGACACAATTTGACTAAGTAGGATTCTGTTCTCTGAATTACCAGCACATTCCAGCCTTGCCTTCCTGAAGTGGTGCCAAGTCATCTTAGTAGAACATCAAGTCCACCCAAGCTCTTGAATAACATGCTTACAGGCAGTCCCTTGGTTTCTCTTCTAGAGCTAAATACCTATTACTTCGTCTGCCTGGCACTCCTGTCCCTTCTCGGAGGACCAGTCACATACCAGTCACACACTGCCAGGTCCATCAGCAGAACCGAAAGACAGCTGCTCGCCACCTCCTCCCCTACACAGAGTTGCCGAAAGAGTGAATGTGAAGTGAAAACTGAAGAGTGGACTCCTTTGAACTTGCTGATAAAATAATAGAGAAAGGTAGGTTCAAAGCTCCAGGAGGGGATGAGGTCAGAGGAAGATCTTGGGTGTTTTGTGGTTGACTTCAAGCTGAAAACTTGGCAGTCAGCCATGCTTCCTCCCTTCTGTCTCTGTCACCCTTGCTCCTCCCTCCTTGCCAGCACCTTGATTCAGGTCCCACCTCTGCTCCTGGATCACTTGAACAGCCTCCAAACCTCCTGCTTCTGGCTGCAGCCCCTCTATTTCCCAGGAAGTCACTAGAGTGTTCTTTCTAAAATGCAGGCCTGATCTTGTCAGTTTTGTACTTACAGCCCTTCTATGAATTCCCGGTGCCCTCAGGAAAGCGTTCACATCCCACCTGCCGTTGCTGAATGTGCCACAAGCATACTCATCTCCATGTCTTTGCGTGTACCATGGTTCCTTCCTTATGGAATACTCCATCTTCTTCCCTCTGCCTCCTCCTCTGTGACCTGTCTCTTGCTGGTCCCTTAGGACTGAGCCAAAGTATCACTTTTCTGGGAAGACTTCCCAGACTCCCTCCCACCTGGATAAGTGCACCTGTTATTTTATTATGATGACACTTAAACCATTTCCTAGCTGCTTGTTAGTAGGAGAGCTTGAACTATATTTCTGAAGTTTGAAGAGGGTACAGAAACTGACATCTAACTTTCCCAGAAGAGTTCCAAAGTGAGAGGTGGCTGGGGCCTCTCCTCATGCCCTTGTGAGAAAAGAAGACTGGTGGGAGGGGCCCATTCTCCAGGGTTCCTGTGGGACAAAGGAGCAGGCTTTCCTTTGGGCCAAGTGGAATTCTCAGAAGGAACCTGGGCTTAAGTCATTTGCTGGAGTACCAGCGTGGTGAGATGACACAATAGACAGTCTACCTGACCTTTACCATTTGAATGGGGGTGAGGCCCACAGTTACAAGTAGTCAACTTGTATACTAGATACTGCATATCTAGCACCAGAGAGAAAGGTGGTGGGACATCCATACAGGTGTCTCTGAAAACCCCACATGCAGGAAAATGAAAGCTTTTTTTTTCTTTGAAAGATTTTATTTATTTATTTATTTATTTTTTTACTTATTATTTTTTGAGAGAGAGTGCACAAGTGGGGTGGGGTGGGGTGGGCAGAGGGAGAAGCAGATGATTCCTGGCTTGATCCCAGGACTCTGGGATCATGAACTGAGCTGCGGGCAGACGCTTAATGGACTGAGCCACCCAGGTGCCCAGGAAGGGTTTTCACCAAGGGCAGACAAGTTAAATAACTCGCCCAGGATTTCACAGCTAGGAAGTGACAAAGCTGTGATTTAATTCTGACTCCACAGGATGGGTCGGTGGGTAGCCGGGCTGGGGTGACTGGGAGAGACTCCACAGTCTCTCTGGGAATGAAAACAGGTGAGCAAGATATCAAGATTTCCCGTAAAGTAGGCAGAGAACAAAAACGTGGGTAATATACCCCTTACTACAGCTTCAAAAGTTTCTATGGCAAGAAGTGGCACATAGCTATTTATCTCCTTTGATTCTTGGATCCTGTCAGCGGATTGTCCCGCTTTGAAGTTTCCCTGGAAACCGCCCCTCCCCCCCATTGTCTTAATAAATGTGAGGAAACAACCTAGGAAGCCCTCCGGCAAATCTGAAGTCTGGTCGGTGAAGGGGCTTGGAGAAGCCCTGACATCTATTGCATTGCTCGCCTTGTTCCTAAAACAGCCGGACTGGGGATCCACCGCCGTATCGAAACCGCGCCGGGGCTGGCGCTCAGACCGAAACAGGTGGAGTGCATCCCGGTCTCCGCACTGGGAGCCGCCTGGAGCCGGCACACCCCGCTTGACAGCACGCCCGCCACAACCGCGAGGCACCCGCGTGGGCGGCTCCCACCCGCCTGCCTGCTCCCTAGACAGTAACGAGGCTGAGGCGGGATGGAGGGGCGAGTGTGACTTCGGGAAAGGGCCCTGGAAGCCGGGCGGAGTTTTACTCCCGGCGTGGGAGCGGGCGGGGTGCGGGGAGCCAGAAAGCCCGCGGGCGAGCGGGCGAGCGCCCGCGGGGAGGGAGCCTTGCAAGCCCCGCGGGGTTGCAGTCCCGGCGTGGGAGCGGGCGGGTGCGGAGCGCCAGAAAGCCCGCGGGCGAGCGGGAGAGCGGGCGAGCGCGCGCGGGGGAAGGAGACTCGCAAGCCCGGCGGAGTTGCATTCCCGGCGTGGGAGCGGGCGGGAGCGGAGCGCCAAAAAGCCCGCGGGCGAGCGAGCGAGCGCGCGCGGCGAGAGAGCCTCGCAAGCCCCGCGGGGTTGCATTCCCTCTCTCAGGGGCAGCCGGCCGGAAGGGAGCGACCGCCGAGCTGGCGGAGCGGGCGCGCGTCACCGCCAAAGCCGGAGCCGGGGCGGGACCAGGAGTCGGGGCGAGCCGCGGTGCCGCGCAGAGCCCGGGAAGTGCGGCCAGCAGCCCCGAGCGCAGCCGCGCGCCCTCCCCTCCCGGCGGACGTCGGCGCGGCGCGGGCTCGGGCTCGGGCGCCGGGGCTCGTCTAGGATGGGCCCGCGCGGGGTGCTGCTCTGCCTGCTCCCCTTGGTGCGAGCCGCCGGGCGCCGCGAGGGCCCGGCCGACGAGCCGAGCCTGGAGGCGGCCGTGGCCGTGCCCAACGCCTCGCACTTCTTCTGGAGCAACTACACCTTCTCCGACTGGCAGAACTTTGTGGGCCGGAGGCGCTACGGGGCCGAGTCCCAGAACCCCACGGTGAAAGCCCTGCTCATCGTGGCTTACTCCTTCATCATCGTCTTCTCGCTCTTCGGCAACGTCCTGGTCTGTCATGTCATCTTCAAGAACCAGCGAATGCACTCGGCCACCAGCCTCTTCATCGTCAACCTGGCGGTCGCCGACATCATGATCACGCTGCTCAACACCCCCTTCACCTTGGTGAGGCCCCGGCCCCCCGCCTGCCTCAGCGGGCGCGGCTCTGCTTCCCTCGGCCCTCCACGCCCCCGCCCGTCCCGCTCCCCCGGGCCCCTCTCCTCGGTCAGCGGAGTTCTCCTCCGGTTACCCCGGGTCCGGCTGGCTGGCCTCGCCTCCCCAGCTCCTTCCCCTCTGCCCTCCTCGCTCAAGTCTCAACTCTCTCCTCTGTTCTGTCTCGCAGACTTTCTGTCCCTCTGCTCTGTCTCGCTCTCTGTGTCTTCATCTTTTTCCCTCCCTGTGACTGTCCTTCTGTCTCTGTTCCTCCGCCCTGTCTCTGTCCTTCCCTTTCCCTCTCTTCCTGTCCTTCTCTGTGGTTTTTTCTGTCCTCTCTCTGTCTCTTTCACTTCTGTCTGTCTCCTCACCTTCTGAGCCCGAGCTTCTGCAGCTGGGGGCACTGGGGTCAATGACTGGAGTGTCTGCAGTCATCCCGGAGCGAATGACCACTTCCTATTTAATATCACTGGGCACTGGGCCTATTTGATATCAAGCAGTAAATCGAAGCTCCTGGAGATGTTGGCAGATTGCTAAGTCACCCCCCATCCCCGAAGTTCCAGCCCATTCAATGCCCTCCACCGCCACCCTAGGATGCTGCTTTGTGCCACAGCTGCAACATCAAACAGTTGCAAATTGTTAACAGAAACTTACGTGCATTTTCCGAGACCACTTATTTAAATTGTGTCTCTCTTCTGTGGTTTGACCATGAGGCTGTGGTAAGAAGTGTGTGTTGGGGAAGAGATGAAGATGAGGTGGGCTTTGGTCCCAGGACCAGGCTGGGGGCATTTGCACATGGGTGGCAGATGAGCCCCCCCGCCTCCACAAGCCCTGGCTGCTTAGCATTAGTGGTGTCATTTCTGTCCCTCCGTGACTTGGGAGTGTGGTGCTTCTCAGTGGTTTGGGACCGTGAGGGCTAGGACTGAGGTTTCTGAAGCATGAGTTAACGTTTTTTCACTTTATGGAATAACCTTATTGTTTTTTGAGTTATTACCAAAGCAGTATCTGTTCGTACTTCTCTCTCTCTCTCTCTCTCTCTCTCTCCCTCGCACACACACACACACACACACACACTCAACCAGAAATAATAAGACAAGCCAAAAGAAGAAGGTGAACTCCCACAAGTCCATCCACCTGTGTGAACATCCTTCCAAACCTCACATTTTAAAACTACATTCTCTCTTTTGTCCTCGCTTGTGAGAACATTGCATTTTGCAGATGAGGAAACTAAGGCACAGAGGTTCAATCCCTTGTCCAAGGTCATTTAGCTAGTAATTGGCAGAGACAGGGTAAGAATTACTTTTCTGACTCAAGTCCAGATGTCTGTCCACTAAGCCACCGAATCCGGGGGTGGCAGGTGAGGAGGGCTTCTTGGGCCATGTTAAGCTTCCAGTACTCCAAACCATGGGCTTTTCCTGCTCCCCGGTCAGCTTATATCTAAGCAATTCCTGGCTACTCAGAATCCTCTCGTCACTAGCCAAGGCCATCCCCATCCCCTTACCCCCTGTTACCTTGAAGCACAAGAGAGAGTATCTCTGGCTCCCCTTGGCTTCTATGCTGATAGTCTGCAATGGGGGAGGGGGGCTGTTGGGCTGGGCCACCCAGGATGAGAACTGGCCCCAGGGCATGGCCCCTGGGCTGCTCTGCCCAGAGCAGGATGCAAAATTAAATCTTCAGCAGATACAAGGGGGTGGAGGAGAGAAGCCATGGACCCCGGGCTAGACTAACTGAAACCTGACATGTCCTGCCTTGGATGAGCTCTTGCAAGAGAGGAAGTGGCAGGGTGCTGAGAACCCAGAATGACTTCGAGATAATCCAGCGCAGCTTGGCCTTGAACCTGACCAGTGTAACTGCCCTAGTCTAAACACTTGTCAGAGCTTACAAGGTGCTGGCAAGCAGGGAGGATGAAAGGGTTGGGGGGAGGGTCTTCTGATTGTAAGGCATCCTGTCTTCCAGCTCTTTGGTGACAATGTTTTTCCTCCCTGGTTTCCTTTCCTGTCCACGTTACACATGTCAGCTCTAGTCGTTGAGAGAAATGCAAACAGTACTGGCAATTCCCATGGCAGAGGCATACACAGAGTGTGATGGAGCCTGGAGGAGAGAATCATTTATTCTGTCCTGCCAGAGTCCCAGGAGAGGGTCAAAGGAGACTGTACAAAGAACGTGACATTTCAAAGGGGCCTGGAAGGGCAGGACTTTCCCAGGTTGTGGTGAAGGCTCCATGCAGATAGAGGAAAGGGGAGATCAAAGGCAAAGGGCATCAAGGCTCATGGTGTGTCTGGGGGGTTGTTGAATGGCTCAATGGAGCTGGAACAGTGAGGTAGGAAGCACAGTGGGGGGTGTGCTGCGTGGGGGGGTAGGTAGCTGGAGACAAGCAGAGATGGGCCAGAAAGGAAGACTGAGGCCAGCTTGTGAATGGGCCTGGAAACTCCGGAGGCATCTGGCTCTGGGGCCAGATGATGTGAAGGGCCAGGATGATGTGAAGCAGGAAGGTGACAATAATCTGATTTTTAGTTAAGAAAATACCATCAGCAGTGTGAAGGCTGAATTGCAACTGGGACAAGACTGGAGGACAGGGGAAGCTGCTAGGAAGCTGTAAAAGGTCCAGGCGAGAAATGATGGGGCACTCCATGAGGGCCATGGCCTTGGGACTGGAGAAGAGGAAATGGATCTGAAAGCCATTGAGAGGCAGCCCTGGTTGGCTCTGTAATGTATTGAATGTGGGAGGTGAGAAGTAGGAGTTGCTAAAGATGTCTAGCTCCATAATGTTAATGGACTGCTCAGAAGCCTCATAGGGCTGCTACCTGCCAACCCCACAGGGAGTAAAGCTACGGTCTACTGTCCTAGTGTCATAATCTGGCCACACTCGTCGTCCCTCATGACTCTTCCACACACTCCCGCTAACTGTCCCACTGCTTATTCCTCAAACAGGGCCTGGGATTTCTGACTCAGTGCCATGCCCTTCGTTCGTACTGCCACGGCTAGGAAGCCTACTTATTCCTTAAAGCTCATCTCAGGTATCTCATATGTCATAAGGAGGGTAGTTAATGGTGTTAAGTGCTTCCTCTGTACAAAGCACTGCTCTACCTTCTTTTCACGTGTTACCTCTTGTTTGATTTTCCTAACAACGGTTAGCCCATTTTACCCACAAGGACAGTGAAGCCCGTAAAGCCTAAGAGCCTTGCCCCAGGTGACAGTCGTAAGAGGGAAATACTCTGCTATAAATCACTACATGATATTCTTTCTGTCCAACTGACTTGCTTGGTTTCTCTCTGTATCATTTTTCCTCTCTACCTCAGCCCCCTCCCACCCTGCCTTGTGGCCCTGATGCCTCTGTCCCGGCCTTCTGTAGGGCACTGAATACTTTCCTTCTTGCTTCCTGAGATACCTGAGTCCTCTCGCCAGACTCCTTCAGAATCAGCGCTTAATCTTTCTTGGGCATGGGGCATCACTCAGGAACGGCTCGAGTGCTGAGGGAGTGAGCAGGCAGCCATGGGTGATGTGGGATGAGGCCTAGGCCTGCTCCTAGGGCCCCATGCAGTCCTGGAGCTTGTCTTCTCCCTGCCCTGCCCACCCCTCTCCAGGCTCCTCAGTCCCCTTCCCAGATGAAATTGCAAGATTTGCTTAGTCAACATTAGAGAACACAGCCCCCACGCTGTGTTGTGATTTTTCAGATGTGTCTCTCCCATTAAGTCTGAACTCATGTGGGCTAAGAATGGATTTTATTCTTACCAGAAAAATAGCTACTATTTATTTCTAATAATACCTTTCTACCAATCTGCCAGACATGGAATTCTACCCTTTTATAGACTTTTTAAAACCTAATCCTTACAATAAGCCTACAAGGTAGAGATTTTTAAGTCTCGTTTTGCAAATAAGGAAACTGAGGTTCAGAGAGATTTTATAGCTCACCCAAGGTCACACAGCTAGAAACTAGTAGAGGCTGCAAGTCCAAGTCCAAAGCCCATGGATTCCCACGCTCTCCTGGCACCTAAGAGGGCTTAGCCCCAGCGATATGATCAGGTTTTGTTGAATCGAGTGATTGAAAATCAGTCATGCCAGAGAAGATCATGTGTGACGCACAGTTGAGTAGTGTAGAATGGAAGAAGGGAGGGGCTGGAAGAAGCCTCCTGAGGGATGCTCCTCAGAGGCCACAGGGGGTGGGTGTCAGAGTCAAGGCCTGTTTGTCTTCTGACCTCTGTGGGCTGGTTTCCAGGTCCGCTTTGTGAACAGCACATGGGTGTTCGGGAAGGGCATGTGCCATGTCAGCCGCTTTGCCCAGTACTGCTCACTGCATGTCTCAGCACTGACGCTGACGGCCATTGCTGTTGACCGCCACCAGGTGAGGGCACTTACCCCCAACACCCCGTCCTTCCCCCTCTGGCTTTGCTTCTCAGGGAACTGCGGGGCCCCTCACGACAGTGTTCTAGCACATTTTTCAATAAGTGTATTTGTCCTATTATTGACCAGTATGAGCCCTTAGACCTGGCATTTTAAAACGTGTGCTAAGTGCTACTTATTCCCAATTTGTTGTTCCTTCAAAGGCTCATTGCTTCCATTTTGTGCCTCAGAAATTAATGAGCTTGTTTTGGGGGTTGAAAAGCAAACCTGAAAGTCACACATGAAAAGAGACTGGCAAATCATTGCAGGGCAGAGACAAGGGAGATGGATATTCCCTGGTCCCAGTTGTTGAGGAGGAAGACAAGCTAGGGTGTCCAGGTGGCAGGAGCAGGCCTCAGGGTAGGGCAGGAAGGCCCTCCTCACTGTCCTGCCCCATCAGACGCACATGGGTGGATATGGTAAAGGAAACCAAAGAGGGCCTGGGGTTGCCTATCCTGGAGGAGGATGGCTCCATGGCAAGCACGTCACACATGCTAACCCAGTAAATCCAGGTTGCATCCTTAGGTCTGTGCTGAATCAAGGAGTGGAAGCTAAGGAAAGTGCATGGGTAGCTTTCCCAAGATCACCTGCCTGGTGAATGATGAAGCTAGGATTAGCACTGAGGTCTGTCTGGCTTCAAGCCTCTGCTCTGATCACTAGACCACCCTATTCTGAGAAGGCTCGGAGGCACCTACAAGGCCAATATCATAAGGACCATCAGGACAAAGAGAGGGTAGGATTTATTCTGATTAGCTCCAAGAGGTACAAACAAAGACCAAGGGAGAGGAGGCTTCAAAGATGCAGATTCAAAGATGCAGCTCAGTGTGAGAAAGAATTTTCTAACAGATCAAAGCTGCCTGGGGAGGTAATGAGTTTCATTTCACTGGCCATTTTTAAGCAAGGGCTATGTGACACTTGATAAGGATGTTTTAGAGGACATTCATCATCTGGTAGGGAATTGGGCTTGGCAAACTATGAGATTTCTTTAGCCCTGAAATGCCATCATTTTGGCATTTATATTGCAGATGCTTTGGGCAAAGTCTGGAAAGGCGGCATACAAATATTTTTCTGCCTTTTCTTAACCTTCTTCCCTAATTCAACAAGAGGGACTCTGGATTGCCTTTACCTGGCCCATGCTTACCCCCATTTAACAGAGCTAAGCGACAGTTGACCCTTGGGCCGAAGATGGGTCGGTCTGAGGAGCAAGGGGATAAGTCTTGCCCACATTGACCACGTTGCTGTGACATAAACCCCAAATATGGGGCCTTGTCCCAAAGCCAGTAAAATCTTTGAGTGATGTCCGGGGCCTCTGATCCAGGCTCTCACTTCCTTCAGCAACTGAACAATGAGAGAGCGTGAGGGGCAAAGATGACAAAATCCAGAAGGGGGATGTGCTAAGCAGCTTCTAAAGCCTAGTCACTTCCTCCCATTAAACCTAGAAAAGAACTGGAGAAAAATTTGGGGGGACCCAGCCAGAATGTCCACTGTGTCCTGGGATGACATCCTCAGGTGGTGGCAGCTCTTTATGACCTCTCCCCCTGACCTTGGATTCACCCGTCTCAGGATGCCTTTATCAAGAAATAATGCCCCTAGTCTTAAAATGAGGATGCCATGAAATCCCCAAGTCTTGATTTAAACCTTTTAGGAGAATGGATTGTCATACTGTAGCAATTCCGGGATGCTTTTTCAGCCCAAAGCTTGCAACACGGGCTTTACTAGAGGCATGGGAAAACCGGACCCCACTGCAATTTTAGCAATAAATGCAATAATTTAAATAGAGAAAGAAAGAATTGTATCACCAGTGTTGTGACTCCCCAGATAAATGTCATTTTAACTTCCCATGACAGGTGGGGAGAGTCTCCTCTCCACATTTGTCACCTCAGACCCTCTCAGAGCCCTCCATAACCTAAGGGGTCCAGAATCATGGGGGGCGGGGCCCGATCAGATCCCAAGATGGAGGCCAACCATGGTTTGTCCCCCTGCTGGCCTTGTGGGTGTCACGCAAGCAGACCTCCTACTCCACCCCTGCCCCGTCCCCTCACTGACCCCTGGTTCTGCCACATATGAGCTGCAAGAGGCCTCTGAGCTGCCTGGGGTCTCTGAGCCCGGAGGACACCCTGGAGGGGGGCGGTGGGGGTGGGGCAGCCCAGGGGCTCCATCCTGAATGAAGGGGTGCCTCTTTATAAACAGGACCCACCTGCCTACCTGCCACACAGGAGCTGCGTCGTCGGGATTCCTTCTGCTTCTGAACTGCTTCAGCCAGTGGTGCACACCTTGCTTGTTTTCCAGGTCATCATGCATCCGTTAAAACCGCGGATCTCCATCACAAAAGGCGTCATCTACATCGCAGTTATCTGGACCATGGCCACGTTCTTTTCGCTCCCACACGCCATCTGCCAGAAATTATTTACCTTCAAGTACAGGTGAGTTGACTAGTAAGGAGTAGCCTGGGGCCTCCCAGGCCCTTGCCGGAGGGAAGTCGGAGCCCCCTCTGCCTCCGAGTTACCCAGTGCTCGCTGCACCCGGCTCTTCCTTCCGTCTCTCTCCCGTTCTCTTGCCCCCGAGCCCCGGGGCCTATCTGCCACATTCCTTCCGCTCTTTCTCCGCTTTTCCTCTCAACCACTTTAGCCCCCTGCTTGTCCTCCACCCAGTTTGTCTGCCAGGTCAAGGCAGGAGTGAGCAGCAGCTTTCACCAGGAACATGTACTTACACGGTCACCCAGACCGAGATTCAAAATCGCGCAGGCCTTGTCTAAAGTGGCAATGTTCAAATTCCGTCGCCCGGCCTGCCAACGGAACATGCCCGTGTCTGTGTGTCCGAGGCACGAAGCTCCACTTTCCCCTACCTCCCTTTCAGGCTTCTTTGTCATATGCTCTCACAGAATGAGAATTTCTTTCAAAGCGCTTCATGTTTTTTTAAATTTAAACACTTGTGTGTACTGCTAGTTCATCAAAAGTGCTCTCCCCAGCTAGACTATGAGGCTGGGGAGAGTTGGCGCCGTTTCTGATTCTGCTACCTTGGTGTCCCCGAGCACCTAACTTACTGTCTCCACATAACAAGCCCTCAATACATAATTACTTACTTACTGAATAAATGAATGGATGAACGAATGAGCTTCGAGTGATTTTCATCAGTTCACAATTGTTTTCTATGAGGTTCCTTAGAAACAGACCGTGAGATACAGATTGGGCTTTGTGATTTTAAGGAAGTGCTCCCAGGGGTCATGGCGGAGGGAGTGGGGACGCAGGATAGCAAAGGAAGGGAGTCCAAGGGAAGGTGCAGTTTAGGGGTTGGAGGGATGTCAGAGGTAGCTACAGCCAGTTGCATGGGGGGCTCTAGAGCAGAGATAACATAGAGTTTGCGCAGCCTTGAGGCAAGGGAGCTGGGCTTTCATATTCCAGGTTTCCCTGGGGAAAATGGAAACTCCCAGCCCCTTTTGGCTTTTAGGGGATCTGTAGGAAATGATTTCAGTGGCCCCTGAAGCTAGGCACCTACAAGATCACAGGGTTGGCCGGGGGCTAGAGGCCTGGCACTCCAGATCAGTGAAGGGGATCTGAGGGGATCGAGGGGGTGCCGTGCTGGTGTGTCCCACAGTAGCCATGTACTGCTCGTCCTGAACCGTGCACTTAAAAACACACATTTCTGTGACACAGGCAGGGTCAAGAGACTAAGCTCTGAAGGCCGGTTACAGCTACAGTTGACCCTTGAACAACACTCATTTGAATGGTGTGGGTCGACTTCTGTGTGGATTTTTGCAGTTAATACAGCCCAGCACTGTAAATGTATTTTCTCTTCCTTCTGATTTTAATAACATTCTTTTTTCCTTACTTTATTGGAAGAATACAAGTATATAATACATATACAAAATATGTGTTAATCAACCATTTATGTTTTCAGTGTGGCTTCCGGTGACTAGTAGGTGATTGGTAGTTAAATTTGGGGGAAGTCAAAAGTCATCCATGGGTTTTCAGCTGTGCAGGGGTCAGTACCCCTAACCTCTATGTTGCTCAAGGGTCAACTGTAATTTATAAGGGCTCCCTCCCCAAATTCTACAATATTGAAATGAATCACATATCTAAATCCCCTAGCACTCAGATTCCCATCTGCCTTCACACATGGGGAGCTGGGGTTTTTTTCTCCTGCTAATAAAAGCAAAGAGCATTCTCTCTCTTTCAGTAGTGATGGCCACCAGCACATATAACAAGAGCAACAAGCTCCGTGGTGTGAGGAGAAAACAGCCATTTTGAGTTGCTGCTCAGACGTTTTATAATATGACAACCCCATTCACACCCACAGTCTGGACATTTAGATTAGGACACGGGGTTAGGATTCCTACCACAAGTTCCTGCCTTGTTTTTCCCGGGTCACCTTTTAAAAGGACCACTCAGAGTTGAGGCTGTGAAAAATTAGTGACCACCGCCCCAACCACCTTCCACGCAAGAGGTGCTTGCAACCCTGCTCTCTGTCTCCTGCTTGCTCATGACCCGGGACAGAGGACTGCCCTTCCCCCCTAGCTCCTTGTGCCTCCATTCTGGGATTTGTAAGTCATAAATCTTGGGACTTTGTTTCCTTTGTGTGAGTGTATTGAAACTGAGCCTTCCATCAAAATGGCCCTTGGGTTTTCACTTCCCCAAAGTGGGAGCTTGGATGCCAAGGGAGGTACTTACCAACCCTGCCTGGGGGCTCAGGCCTCCTCATTCAGCAGGTCTTAATCTGCAGAGTCTTAACACACCAGCTCTGGGGGCTCCTCAAAGAGGAACCGGGTGCATTCTATAGAAAATAAATACTTGTTATATGAATGGCTGAAGGTATGTTAGTTCAGGCTTTCTCACTCACATTCTTAAGACCCATCATTTCTTTGCCCCCACTCCTTAATTCCCCTCTGGAATGGGAGTAGGTAGTAACATGGGGAATTCCAAGATTTCCTGAGCACATTGTGCTCTCAGGTTGAGTTAGTTCTAAGACTAGGAATACCAGTGTTGCATTCATTCATTGAACAAATATTTACCGGGTCTCTGTTATAGGCCAAGAATAATACAAGGTTAAGAGGACACAGAGAGAGCAGGTGTTTTCCTTATCTTTACAGAACTCCCAACCTATTGGAGAGCCAGAAATGTATCAAATAATTACACTACAGCAAAAATGCTCTGAGGGATGTGCCCAATGTGGAGAAAGGCCAGTGCTTCTTGGGATGAGGCCTTTGCACACTAATGGCACACCCTCCTCTTTCTTTCTCTCTCTCTGCCTCTCTCTGTTTCTCTGTGTCTGTCTCTCCCTCTCTCCCCTGCCACCAGTGAGGACATTGTCCGCTCCCTGTGCCTGCCAGACTTCCCTGAGCCAGCTGACCTCTTCTGGAAGTACCTGGACTTGGCCACCTTCATCCTGCTGTACATCCTCCCCCTCCTCATCATCTCCGTGGCCTACGCCCGTGTGGCCAAGAAGCTGTGGTTGTGCAACACAATTGGGGATGTGACCACAGAACAGTACCTGGCCCTACGGCGTAAGAAGAAGAAGACCATCAAGATGCTGATGCTGGTGGTGGTCCTCTTTGCCCTCTGCTGGTTCCCCCTCAACTGCTATGTCCTCCTCCTGTCGAGCAAGGTCATCCATACCAACAATGCCCTCTACTTCGCCTTCCACTGGTTTGCCATGAGCAGCACTTGCTACAACCCCTTCATCTACTGCTGGCTCAACGAGAACTTCAGGGTTGAGCTGAAGGCATTACTGAGCATGTGCCAAAGGCTGCCCAAGCCCCAGGAGGAAAGGCCACCCTCCCCAGTTCCTTCCTTCAGGGTGGCCTGGACAGAGAAGAGCAATGGCTGGAGGGCTCCACTAGCCAACAACCTCCTGCCCTCCTCCCAACTCCAGTCTGGGAAGACAGACCTGTCTTCTGTGGAGCCCATTGTGGCAGTGAGTTAGAGGGGGGTTGGCGGGGGGTGGCGGCGGGGAGAGGCAGAGGGAGGGCTGTCTCCAGCTGACGTTGGGAAAGGGGCCTGAGGACAGAGCCTGGAAAAAAGCCTGTCCTCTCACACATGACCTTCACAGTGCTTGAAACAAGGTCCTACAGAAGCCATGGGACCCTTGATTTCCTAGGAAATGCTGTCTAGCCTCCTTCCCCATTTGATGTGAAAACTAAAAGACAACTACCAATTTGACACATGTTTATGAATTCCTGTCTAAGAAATGCTGCGAGGCATATCACCCTGATTCCCTGAGCCAGAGAACCCAGGACAGCTTCAGCCCACATGAGGGCTGAGTCAGCCCTCTGCCTACCAACCCTCCCTGCCACCAAACATTCATAAAGAACACCTGAGTCATCCTGGGGATGTGGCTGACCCAGATGCACCAAACTCTACTTGAACAAGATTCACTGGCCAGTGAAAGGTGAGTGAGCCACAGCTGACACGGAGGGGTTTTTTTGCCTCACTTTCTGAAGTCCTGGGCCAGGATGAATCACAATAGTGTGGCGGCTGGCTGGATAGATGACAAAAAAGGACCAATTCAGTTCCCTTAAAGCAATGAGGAATTATTGAGTTCTCTTAAAGAGGAATTATTATTAAAACTTGGGAAAATTTAGGAAAGCACAAAGAAGAAAACAAAAATCACCCCCTTCTGTCACCAATGGTGATGAGTTTTGTTAATATGCTGTGGATTTATTTGCAACTTTTTCCTTTGTGTGCATGTGTGTGCACACTCTTCCTTCCATTCTGAATTACACTTTTCCACATAGAGATAAGCAAGAAACAGGGCATAACAGAGAACTTCTGAGCACTTCTTCCAGGAGTAGTGTACACCAGAAGAGCTGGAAGAAGAGGGGGGAGAGGAACCCAAGGAGAAGGCTGTCATGGAGCCAACAGACTGCCCTCATCTCATAACCAGTGGTAGGAAAGGTCTGGATGAAGTACCTCTTCTCCAATGGCAGCCATCGTGATGAGCCGGGGAACAAAACTCATTCAGGAGGCATAATTCCTTCTCTCCTGCACTCACATGGAACAAGAGGTGGTAAAATGTTGCCTTGCCTTTACAGGAGATGATGGAGCAGGCTCTCCAACATGCCAGAAATAATTGCACTTAGACACTTCAAATCCTCCCAAGCTGTCTAGACAGGCCACTTCTCTGTGTTGTCTGAATAATAAGGCTTCTTCACGCCAGTTCCCCAAAGACGACTCACTTGTCAACATCACCCAGCTCACATGTCACCTTCAGAAACCTATGACATCGTCATAGCCCTTAAGGACTCAACATGCCAGAGAAATCTCATTCCAGAGACTGAGTGTTTTCATCACCTTCTGTCTGGTCCTGAGTGACTCACTGTGTCACCCAGGAGACAGAGGCAGAATAGAACTTAATTCACCCACCCTAAACAATTGCCAATCTCACACTGATTTTGGGTTTTTTTCTAGCACCAGATAGATCTTGAAAGCAAACATGGATATGGAGCTGAGTGGAAGACTGAGGTTTGGGGAGAAGGGCTTTGTCCAAGGTTCACTTAGATCTCTTGACTATTCATTGAAATTGAAATTGAACTTGGTCATATCATCTGCTTTCCTATAATGAACTATTTATGAGAATGTTTGAAATGTTTGACTTTCATGGGACAGAGAGGCTTCTAAGCCCGTAGGGATCCCAAGATGGATTTTCCAGGCCACATGGCTTCCAGGCCTGTGCCTACTGTCTCTGTGGTGTCAAGAAGTAGCTAATTGTTTCATCTTAATGCTGCCATGGAAATTCTTTGAACCAGACAGAGAACAGACAGGAGGACTACAAATAGTTTGTCCTACTGTAGAATCATGGGAAAAGTGAAGCTTTTCCTTGCTGAGGGCATCTGGAAATACTGCAAAGTCAGAGGAGACCCCACAGATGGCCCATTAGGTCTAGGTGTCCTGTCAGCACCTTGTCTCCCCCATTTCCCTTATTCTCTGTGTGCCTCAGAGCCAAAAGCAATTTGTATTTGTGAATGTGAAAGTTGTTAAACTTGAGTCTTTCCAGTGTGTCATAATGAGTACTTTATTATCAATGCTCCAGTCTCAATAAAATACATCTTGGATGCATGGACTATGCTTCTTGGACTTCTGATTAAACCACAGTTTGTAACCTTTAAAATGGGGGTCCATGTGGATCACAAAGAGAGCACGAAGACCATCTGTCCACACCCCTGTGTGTTACAACTGAGGAAGCACAAACATACTTTGGCTAGGGTAAATGGCCAGCTGGAAACCTCTGATCTCAGTCTAGTTCTTCCATTGAGCTGGCTGCCACGTCCCCACTTTTGTGAGGACCCAGGACTCCACCCGTGAGTCGTTGGTGATTTGGGAGGAGACAGAGCTGCCACTGAAGCCTTGGGATTGGATTCCTCACCCACAGTGTGCAATGGATGCCACATTCCTGCGTTGGCCAGGATTTCTGCCCCATTGGGCCTGGGGTCCCCTTGTCCTACCAGGTAAGCTGGGTAGGTATACAGAGTTACTCTGATGCCACCCAGGGCCCAGGAAATCAGTGTCACATGATTTCATGGAAGGTTGTATATAGGGGTAATTTACTGAGCCTAGGGGAAGACTTGAAAGAAAAATGAAAGGCATAGGAAAAGGAGAAGGGTAGTAAGATTTGCTGACACCTAATATGAGAGATACTATGCTAAATGCTTCTCAGCTCACGATCTCATTCACCCTCGCAGCAATCCTCCAGGGTGGGTATTATCATTTCTGCATTGCAGTTGAGGAGACTGAGGCTTAGCTATAGAGCACACAACAAAATTGGGGAAATGCTACCTTCTTGGAAATTAGATTTTGAGAAGGCAGGTAGAGAAAGAATCTTGATTTGTTTTTAATTCAACGTTCTACAAATTTCCTTGATTGTGAGACACTTTTGGGGTAGAAGCTGTTAACCATCCTAAAAATGAGTTCTTGAGTTACATGTTTTGGGAAATGCATGACTAGGTAGACCCCGTGGCCAATGAGTCCATGGCTCTAGTACAGTAGAACTCAATTCTGGTTAGAAACATCTTCCGAACAGACCGTAAGTGACTTCCAGATTGCTGGTGCCCTGCTTGACCGACCATGGTATGTTGCCAAGGCAAACAGTTGTCTTTTAGCAAGCCTGGGCCTCGGGGTCCTCAGATGGCACAGGCAGAACCCACCTAAACCCTTACTGCTCCAAACTGGTGTGACATGCAGGTCTCAGGGCCTCTGTGCTGCTGTCCAAGGTACAGGCTCTAGGATAATAGGAGGCATGCCAGAGTTTTGGGGGCCAAGGGCAAATCTGGAAAATGTCAGGGGAACATCGACTGGGGAAACAAACTTGTCTTAGAGTGTTGCCTGTAGGTGGTAGAAGATGCTCATAGTGCTGAGTTGAGATCATTAGCATCTTGCTTTGGCATCTCTGTGTACCCACCCCCACCATTCTCTCTCATTTCAAGGAGTAGCTAAAGAGGGAACAAATTAAGGTATGTGCAATGCTGGATGGCACTTAAAAAATATTCTAATGGTATTTAATGTGAGAAAGCCCTGAGTTCACTCTCCTTTCTGAGACTTTGTAGCCTCTCTTGCTGAGAATAAGCTATTTGCTGCTTTATGGGTACAAAGCGGTTGATATTAATAGCTCCTTCTCTCCTCCTGTTTCTAGTCTAGCAGGAACCTTATCTTCAGAGTGGTCATGAATTGAAAGTGCTCAGATTAAATGTGAGGAAGGCAAAGGAATCATGATCACAGGATTTAGGATATTGGTTACTTGAGATTGAGAAGAGGGGTTAGGGTGATAAATAATTGTCAAGGTTCTAGCTTTTGTTTGGGGCGACATTAAGAGTGAGGCATAAACCAAGGATTATGATTAATTCAGTTCTGTGCCTCTGTAGTCTATAAACAAACGAACAGTAAACCAATAAAAATGGAGATCTAGAGTCTAAGCCTTTATTTTTCTTCCCTGTATCCTTCCAATCAAGTTACTTCTATGTCTGTATTATTAAAACATGCAAATAGAGTTCACTTCCAAGGCAAGTAGGGTATGACAATTATATTTCTGTTTTTACAAACAGCCTTGCTCTTCTGGAGTTAAAGCTTCCTCTTTGTTTCTGGCTTAGTTTTCTATGTCACTATCACTAATTCCTCCCCAATTTTTCGGAAGAGTTAAAAACCCCTTTGTGATCTGACCACGCACATAGAGTGTCTGCCATCGCCCCTCCCCCACACCTCCTGGGCTGTCAGCTGCTCCTCCCTGGGCTGGCAGATCTTTCTGTCTGCAGAACACCTGCTTTCCCAGGATCCCCGTTCTCCTCTACCCAGTGGCTAGGTCTTGCAGTTTCCTAGATACCTGTTTTCCTCTGTTTTTAAATTTACTCCTTTATTTTGGAAGACCACATTCTCTAGCAGTTGCCCAAGAAAAGGTACATAGAAACTAACTGAATTTTGAAAACATTTCTATTAGTTTTCTATTGCTGCCATAACAAATTCCCACAGTCTTAGTGGCTTAAACAGCACAAATTTATTATCTTACACTTCTGTAGGTAGGTCAGAATCTGACACAGGTCTCCTGGGGCTAAAATTAAGGTGTCTTCAGGGTTGCATTCCTTTCTGTAGGCTCTGGGTTGGATCCATTTCCATGTCTTTCCCAGCTTCTAGAGACCACCCCCCCAACACACACACATTCCTTAGATCATGGACTGCTTCATCCATGTTAAAAGCCAGCAACATGGTATCTCCCTGACCGTCTAAAGTCACATTTCCTTCTCTCTTCTGCCTATCCCCTCCACTTTTCAAAGGTGATTACAAGGATGAAATTTGTGAACCTTTGTGATTACATTGTGTCCACCTGAATAATCCAGGATAATCTTCCTATTTTAAAATCAGTGACTAGCAACCAAAATTCCATCTGCAACCTTAATTCTCCTTTGCCTGAGCATATTCATAGGTTCTGGGAATCAGGAGGTGGGAGGCCATTATTCTGCCTAGCAGCA